AGCCCCATGTTTTATAATTGCAGAGTGTTTCGCGTGCAGTATGTTCGTAAATGACAACAGCCATTGTGTATGAATGCGTGAAAGGACACATTTCCACCGTTTCTGTGGTATGCATGCAAATACATTAAGAGACCAACAGGGCCTGTGATGCGTTACTGTTCAAAACCAACAGTCTATACAGTTTTACACATTTGGCACATACATGACTCATTGGAGAAGAGATGGGCCTCAAGTCCACTATAGCAAATTTAAAGTTCTTTCTTACTTTTGAAGTGTACTTTCTTGATATAATATTAGAATATCATTTTTATCTCTGATTCATATAGTGAAATGTTTCAAATTAATTGACTGCTCTAGCCTCCAATATATGAATAGAAAGACCAACTCTCTATATATGTAATTCATAAAATATAGCAGAACCAACAAAATATTGAAGATTTAGGTCTTTCCTACAGTTTAACAATATAACTGAGTGAGCGGTTGCAGTACTTACATTCTCCAATGGATGACAGTGTAGATCGTGGGCTGAGTGGACTGTCCATGCCAGTGTTCAGAGAACTTCCAAGCAGGGGATCAGAACACCTTTAGATCAAGAGAGATATTTAAGATACAAATGTTTACTTTTGTGAATTCACCAAGCAAAGATCCAAATTTCTAACATTAAAAAATAACAACAAACGATGAAGATAAAGATGATGATTAACAAAGAGAATATTTTCAGGACATGGTTTGTGTTTAGTTTGCAGAGTACAAAGTATATTATATACATTATATGAACTAAAGTATATTATATAGTATATTATATACACTATAGTATAGTATATAGTATGTTATAAACAGTGTTGAAGCAGGTCTCCTCTGGAATTAGTAAGTAAGTAAGTAAAATGTATTTATATACATTATATTATATAGCGCTTTTTAAAACAGGAAGTTATTTCAAAGTACTTCACATTGGAATAAAAGCATATCAATTGAAACAGTAAAACACAGTATAATAGCACATCCAATAAAACAGTTTGCTACACATGAATATTACCTAAATGCCTGTCTAAACAGATGTGTTTTGAGCTTTGTTTTAAAAGTAGCTAAAGGGTTGATGTTGCGTAGCGGGGGAGGTAAACTGTTCCACAATATTGGAGCCAAGGTTTGAAAAGCGCGATCCCCCTTTGTTTTCAAATGGGTCCGTGGAATGGTTAGAAGACCACTATCAGTGAATCTAAGGATCCGGTTTGGAGAGTAGGGTTGCAGAAGCTCAGTGATATAAGTAGGGGCCTCACCTGGATTTCTTTTTTCCATTTTAATTCTGCCTAGCCCTGCAAAACCGAACACAAGTCTGGAAAGATCGGCTCTCCAAAAACGGCATGCGTCTGAACATCAAGAAGACTAAATACCTTGAATGCGGCCTCCAGACCAACAGTACCATCACTATTGACGGCGAGCCGCTGACTAAAGTTGCCCAATTCTAGTACCTCGGGTCCCTTGTCACCTCGGACTGCGAAACTCCACCAGACGCTAGACTCCGTGTCAACGCAGCATGGATGAAGTGGCGTCAGGTCAGTGGAGTCTTATCCGACAAGAGAATGCCAATCTATCTTAAGGCGAAAGTTTATAAGACGATCGTGCGCCCAATGGCACTCTACGGGTCAGAGTGCTGGCCGGCGATGACCAAGCACGAACACCATGGAGATGAAGATGCTGAGGTGGCCTTTGAGTCTCACATGACTAGACCGAGCGAGGAACGAAGATGTCAGGAAACAACGGGGAGTGACACCAATCACGGACAAGATGCAAGAGGCAAGAGGCTCCGATGGTACGGCCATGTTGCCCGAAGCGATAAGAACTCCATCGCAAAGACAGCCCAGCAATTAGATCTAGGTGGCAACAGGCCACGAGGAAGACCAAAAAAAGTGCTGGATGGACCGAATCAAAAATGATATGAAGGCTGTGAATGTTACACCAGAAGACGCCCTGGGTAGGGAGAATTGGAGGAAGGCATGCAAAACATCGGACCCTGCATCGCGGGATATGAACTGCTAGGAAGAAGAAGATTTTAATTCTGTCTCACCTCTTTGAGGGATCTTCTCCTCCTCCTGCAAAATGAGCTTGGCCATTGTTGTCCCTGACTGTCCCCGTCTTGTAATAGCTTTCAAACACTATGGGCTCTGCAAGAAGAAAAGAGAACCTGCTCATTTGAGAAATGAGGCCAAGTGATACTTTTTGCCTGTCTGTCAATTGAAAGAGAAAGTCAAGAAGCTGAGCTGCACTCTTTATATCCTGTTATTTTGTAGTGGAACTTTTCTCACTTCAACTTTGTACTTATAAGTAAAGGAAACAAAACAACCATCTTTCCAGTAAATACAAATTGTGAAAGCTCACCTGGTGCCTTCAATCCGGTGCCTTTCATTTCTATGAAAGAGTTGTTGTCTTTGGTAATGTCACACTGTTCCAGAAATTTCCTCACCTCCTCGTAAGACTGGTTTTAAAAAGGAGGAATTCAGTACATTTTATATTACTATTATATTACTTTCACTTTTCATTTAGGTTTATGCATAATTGATAGTTAATTAGGTTTATGAAAAGATCCCGATTTGGGTTTATATACAATGCTGCTCACCAACTCTTACAAAATCTTAGATTTGTAAATCCTGGAAGACGCTTTTTCTGTCTGCCAGTCATTTATATTTAGAATGGTTAAGAAAGTGACAAGTACGGAGCCCATAAAACTATCGGCCAAGTGATTGTAATAACTTTCAAGAAGAAGTCAAGGCTACATGAGCCTACTAACATGCTTCAAGTTGCAATCCATTCGTTTATCCAGTAGCAGGCCATAGCGGTGGTCTGACATTCAACTTAAGCACACTTAAGATTTGAAAATTAAAGCCTCATTGAACTAAAATGTGATCAGAAGAACAACAAAGAGTGAAAACTGCAATATTATTACAATTCTGGTTGATAAATTCTCATTAAAAGAACATTTGGGAATAAAATTTTAAAATCAGTTTTTTTGTAACACTCATTTTGTTTTTTAAGAAAACTTTTTTTTAAGGTTTATCCAGAAAGATAATGTACTTATACTTGATTTAAGAATAGAAATTTGCATTTTTATTCTTCTTGACATTTTTATTCTGTTTGTTTTATTCTGTTTACATATTAAATAAAGTGAAAACTACCTCACCTCATCATCTTTGACACATTGCATGGAGAAATGATTGCAGTGGTCCCAGAGAGCACACCTGAGCATGCTGATGCGATTTCCCTCCAACTGTTGGAACACCTATAATTTTCAAATGAATTCTGTGTTATTACCAACAATGTATTATTGTACTATGTACTATTACAAGATTTGCCATGATACTGGGTTGCAGTAATGCAACTGCTGCATGCGTGCCATTTCACGTTTCGGAGAGGCAAAATGGGCACAGTGAACCTGTGTGTTTGTTACGCATTTTGAAATGATACCCTATTGGATAATGATCAACTCAGTATCACAGCAAAACGTGATATTTACCGTGACATAGGGTTGAATTGCTTTAACATATACAAAGCTCATTATAGTTTCTTTTTTCTCTTCTTACTTATAGGGGTGCCACCAAGAGGTGCCGGATGTGTGTGTGTGTGTGTGTGTGTGTGTGTGTCCACTAGTGACAGCAAAGTCAACACAAAGAAGCTGTCGTTCG